CGCGCCTCAGCTCCGAGATCTCTCCATTTGGTCTGTTGCCGTTGGCGACAAAAATGGATGACCGTTGACGCTCATCTGGCGCGCGTGGACTGGAAAGCTGAGTTACTGCAAGGTCGGTGAGGGGCGTCCAGTTTGGTATCGTGTCGACGACAGAAAACTGACTTGTGCCTGGATAGTGTACTGCATATGAGTATTCAGCCGGCCAGGCACCAAATTTACAAAGCATACCGTCATTGCTCGCTCCGCCCGCAATCAGGAGATCCGGATATTGTTGCGAAATTTCGGAGCGATCGACACTGACACACGAGAAGGCAGTATCAATCCGGCACTGCCATTCGCCAGCTTCATCTATCTCTACAGTACCCGAAGGACCCCGAACCACGTAGATGATACGCCCATCCTCCCTGGCCACGTAAAAGGCTTCTTTCTGATACTCGGGATTACGTAGGGTCTTATCCCAAGCCGTCCATTTTGGAGCTTGCTTGCTGTCACCTGGTAGAATAGACCGGAGTGTCGTATGATCGATTGGTACTATGGTATGCGCCGGGTCACCAGAGAGGATGTTCTTGTAGACGGAGATGTGGTCGTCTGAAACCAGAAGAAAATCGGGACTACGACGAAGAGGAATGAGCAGAGAAGGCACCATGTCCTCTGAATAGGTTAGCCGAGCCCATCTGCCGTGTCATGCAGTCTTCCACTTACCAAACTGGACGAGATAACGCTCTGTCCGTGGGGTTGCTCTGCTAAGATCTTGTCTGCAGTCCCAATCGAAGCAAGTAAGTCTGGTCCTTCCTTCCAATACGACCACGAAAAGCAACACGACGTGAAAATCGTCATGCCCGCCTCCCGATGACAGAAAGTCCATATGCATGATCTGCCCTTCGATTGACATAATCCGCTCGTCTTCGATAGGCGCGGTAATCTCGTTGCCCTCTCTGGCCTGCCTCCTCCATTTCTCCATAGGCATCGTCTTATATAGGATGAAGCGCCCTTCGTGCGCTGCAACTGCTATCGCGCGGCACTTGGGATCTATAGCGAGGAAATTTCCAAGACGATCGAACCGGGAACTTCCTGCAGGTAGCCTGACAGTTCTGTGGCTGAAAGTGGTAGTACATGTCTTGCTGTGCTGTGCCCATAAAAACATTAATGATCGGTTGGAAAGACTGAGTACGATGATCTCCGGAGGCAGCATATTGCCTTCTTCTCCTGTTGTTGGCTTTCTTGCGATGTGCTTCATGTAGTTCCCATGTAATGGAAGACCAGTACCTTTGGATGAAGGTATTTCGCGAGGCTCACCAAAGACCTTGGCAGTAAGGATGCGACCACCGTTGAAGTTAGTCTTGGAAGCCACATGGTGAATATGGCCGTAGTCACGGATCTCTTTGAGTTGTATAGAGTCCTCGCCAACCATGACAATATCTATGAGGTCCCTATGGCGTATGTTGGCCGGGAGAATGAGCTTGCTCAGCGGAGTCTCTACAACTGTCTGCGACAGTATGCCGTATTCGGGTATCTGACCTGATGACCTGGTAGTAGTATCCCGCATTTCAAAGTCTTCCTGAGGAGCGTTGGCCATTATCTGATAAGGGTCGAGTGGTCTTGAAACCCACTCACCGTCGATGAGGCTGAGGCCTTGGGCTTGAGCCATTTGTGATCAAGGAATGCTCAGGAGACTGACGGCAAAATGGATCTTGACAATGCCAAGCAAGCGATTTCTGATGCCGTGCACAGTACGGGATCAGGCCAACGCAAGTAGAAGCAACGAACGCACAATGTTCAGAGCTGAGATAGATGACATAGTGCAGCCTGCCGGGGCAGGCTTGTCAGACACGTGATGAGGCAAGGAAAATCAGTAGTAGCAGCTGAAATTAATTGAAGCAACAGACAGCGCGTCGAATATCGCAGGGGCTGTGGTGGATAGTAGCAGTGTTGAGCAGAATAGCAGCAGCGACGTGAGGCAACTGCAGCCGGGATACCTTGGCTTACTGAGGCGGGCTGCTGCAATAAGATGCTGTAGCGCCTTTGGCACACTACAAGAATGCAAAAGGCTAGCAAGTGCGCCCACTACTAGCACGTGAGGCACGAGAGTATACCCGCGTACGTACGTAGCGTGCCTTCAATGTCAAGATGGCTGACGGATCTAGATCGCCAGATGATCGTGCAGTATGGAGCACGATCTGAGTAGGCTCGGGATGGCTATGTGAGTGGGTTGCAAGCCCCAGCGAGGCGGCGCAGTAGCCGGCCAGGGTGCGAGGAGCCTTGGAGCGTTCGTTGGTGGGTGTGAAGGTGTCGTGTATGCAAGGAAGTGGCTCCAACACTACTCATTTGGCTGCACAGCAGCGTCTCGGTACTGGAAGGCTGTCGGCGAACAGGTCCAAGAGCAGTTTCGAGTGGTGTTGTCGGGTTGCACGGCTGTCGTCTCACGTGCAGGCAGCGGGTGAAGGATGTCGATGGGCAAGACTGGAAACGGCATGTCCTAGTAGTTGACATTCACAGTTCCGTGGGGTGCCAAGCGCCTCGGCACGACAAGCAGGAAGGCGCGACCCGTCACGTCAACCTGGCACCTGGGACGCCGGCACGAAGCAGCATGTAATCCACCAGACAAACACTTTGTCCCCCTCTGCATCTTTTTCTGCGCTCTCCTGCGCATACGAGGTCCACGTTGGCCACGTCATCACGCCATTGTTCCTTGTTGCTGAATATCGAGGGGACGTCTCGAGATGCGGGCATTGTCATGGCCTATCGCACTCCCTCCGGCTCCGTGTCGCGCTCAGTGAGCTCTGGCAGCTTACCCTCACGACACGCCACGCCCGTCTCCCAACTCACGCCTACCGAAAAGGAGAAGGAATCTCTCGTTCGCGCAGCAATCGACAATGGCGACGTCACCGCCCTGGTAGACCTTGCTACGAGCCCGTCTGGCCTCATCAGCGACACCTTGCGTCGCGCTGCTTGTACGCCTCTACCCGCACAGATTTTCGTATCAGGCTGACACGATGTAGGGCCTCTCTTGCTAGGATATTCTAATGACGACTTGGGGAAGGAGCCATGTGATCATCTTCCCGAGCACAAGGACGAGCACCAGGTTAGCTTGGACGTTAACCGCGCATTTGTCTACTACCCAAAGAATGGTAAACGCCATGTAAGCTGTTAGTACTTGTCTCTGTGCTAACATGGCCAGAATCCGAGAAGCAGCTTGATCGTCGAAAGCAACAGCTCTCACAGGTCATCCTCCATGTCCTGCGCCGTCACCCCACACTGTGCTACTTTCAGGGCTACCACGATATCGTGCAGGTCTTCCTACTCGTCCTCGGGCCCGAAGACGCCTCCGCTGCCGTCGCCCGACTAAGCCTCCTACGCATTCGTGACTTCATGCTCTCGTCGCTCGACCCAGCCCTTGCCCAGCTCGAACTGCTGCGACCGATCCTCCGCGCTGCCGATCCCCTTCTGTACGACCATCTCCCCAAGAGCCAGCCTTCGTTTGCCCTTGCTGGCACAATTACCATGTTCGCCCACAACATACAGGACTACAAGGATATTACGAGGCTATTCGATTTCTTTTTGGCCCGACATGCTGTCATGCCCATTTATCTCTTTGCAGCCGTGGTGCTGTCCAAGAGAGAAGAGTTGCTGGAGTTTGACAAAGAAGATGAGGACATACTCTATGTTATGCTAGGCAAGCTGCCAGAGCCTTTCGACGTCGAGTTTCATATCGCTCGAACCGTTGAACTGTACGAGAGACTACCTCCTGCGTCACTCAACAGTTGGGAGTGGTGGCGCATCTCATCTTCTAGCGTACTCAAGTCGTCTGCAACAAATGCCAGTCTGCGTCATCTCACATTGGAAGACGGAGAGACGTTTTTCTTGCAACAGGAGCAGGACCTCCGCCGCGAGCAGGCTCTGAGGCGCGCGGCCAAGACGATACAGTACATTAAGCTGCGTATTTGGTACCACCGCCGCAGGTATGGAACCGTTGGCTTTGCCATAGTGGTAGGTACCTTTGCACTATGGCTTGGCAGAAATGGAGAGCTCAGCACTCGATATCCACTCCTCGGACCGATGGGCGACTATTTGATGAGATTCCTTGGTGGTCCAGCATAAAGAGGGTGAACAAGGAGTCAAGTGTACAACAAAAGTGATTTCGAAGCATAGCCTGGCGCTGAAGAAAAAAGTCAGCGTACTGCACCTTGGCGCAACAAGAGGATAAAAGTTTGACAGAGACATTTGTCTCGAATAGAGGCGTCAGGATGGAATAGCCATCTGGCTATACTTTTACCGTTGGTGATACTTCCCTGTCAATTATCATCTATCACCATTGCCACGGTTCCGACCATGCAATTCTAACTTGCTTTCTATGACGCGTTCGACGAGCCGCTGCAGATTGTACTCAAAGTCATAATACCCACAACATGGACACCAAAGCCTCGTTAGTCAATGTCGCGCTATTTTTCCCTTTTCAGTCCTTGGGAGACTCGACACAACTTACTGCATCATGTAACGCGCAAGCCCATGTTTTACAGTACTGCAATTGTCCTGCTTCCGTCAACGCGGACTTTGCCTATGGCATCGTCAGTCATGATTCTTCTCCATCACGTGTCTACCCTCGTTCCTTATCTCGTCCCTGTTATCTTCATGTTTCCTTGTTGAGGCAAAAGACATACCTGCATACAAGCCGCAACTTCCAGTTCGCAGATCTTCATACAGGGAATCTATGATAAAAGGGTCGCAAGTGCGGGGATTCTGACAGTGTTCTTGTAAGGAATGTAGGCCGTTGCCTTGGGATTGATTGTCCGTGTTGATGCTATGACAGATTCAGGCGTCACTATTATGTTAAGATGCGAGTTCAGTGAGTAAGTTTTCAATTGTGGTAGAAGACTATACATAAGAATGCTCACCATGTATACCAGGCTGTTTGATATACACGCAGCACCTTCCGGCACACATCAGTCTAAAGGCCATTCAGGCTACCTGGTGAGCCACTCAGAATGCTCCACAACGGCATATCACAGTGTGGGTGAGCTATGGATCAAAGTGTTTAGATCAGGCTCTAGCACTTCGCCGTACCCGAGTTGGTATATGCAGCGATCGCAATCTTTGCACTATCGTGGAGTCAGTCTTCTTTCTTCAGTGTCAAGAGCGTTCAACCTACATCCCAATCCTCGCACATGCTCGCACGGCACTTCTCCATGTCCTCAAGCTTCGGTGAGCCCTGTCATCGTGTTAGTCCATGCTCTATAGGGCAAATTTACCCTCAGTCTGCCATTGTAGGAATGAGACCGTTAGAAAGTAGATGAAGAGAGCACTCACAGCTGAGCAGTACATGTACCGCATAAATTCGCAACTACTGACGGTCTCACATACCCTGTTGTCAGGATAGAGATACTTCGGGAAGCCTATGCAGTCCATGTTCCTCTTGGGGTATTCAGGCGTAGGCCCAACAGGCTGGCAGGCACCAACCCTGTGGCACTGAATCGGTTCTTGCCATGCGCCGTTGATGCAAACGAACATGAACCGACGGTGGGTATCGCAGGCATAATCACCGTGGGTGCACTGAGTGCTATTGGTCTGACGCTCGAACTTTGGTGGATCCATGCTTCCTGTCCCACAGTGCGCTTGACCTGGCCTGTCAGTCTTGCAATCACCGGGAGTGGTGCATTTCTTCTCGGTGTGGTACACTCCATCTTTGCCGCACAGCTGAAGGGCATATGCGTCAGAATCGCACTTCCTATCTCCCGGCACGCATAGCTCTGGTACTACGGAGGGGGGAGGCAGTTCTACCCAGCATTGCGCGACATCTTCACGCTTGACGCACTTGGACGGATTGGGACACATTGTCGGTTTCCAGCTGTTCTGTTCGCACAATTGAAGAACATTGCCCAAGCAGCGAGATTCGCCAGTCCTACACCACTCAGGTATTCCCGTGGGAGAACGTAGAATGAGAAGTGTGGACGCAACGATCAGTTGACAACGAGCATCGTTGTATTCTACGCGACACTCTTCAGTATCGCTACAGCTTTCGATTTTGACCCAAGCGTTTTCGGTACTACACATCTCAACTTGTTTTCCGCTGCATCGCCTCTCGCCAGCAGTGATGCAATGCTCGAAAACACTCGGGGTACCTTTAGAGATGTATGACCTTGATTCAAGGTTTTTCGAAGGAGAACGTGTAGGCGGCATGTCGTTGATGAAAAGAGCCCGAGCAATGACCCGGTGTGAAGATCGTAGGCACGGTTCGACAACACAATCTTGCTCGGTACATTGGCCGGGAGTGTTGGGGTCATGGGCATCGATTGTGCAGAACTCAGTGTCGCTACATGCTTGGATAGGCACATAGTTGCCCAAAGGATCACATTCTTCCACGTTGTTGTCATGGCAGCGCTGAGTACCTGTCTTACACGGAGTCTCTGGAAGTAGGATTCTAACAGAGAAAACTGTTGGCAGAATGGTGACAACAGTCACGAGAATATCGAGGATTCGCATCTCTGGTGAACGTGTTTAACGAGGGGGGATTGGTAACGAGTAAAAGTTGGCAGTAAAAAAGCCAGAAAGAAGGGTGTGCGAATGAAGCTTGCTGTTCGAGAGAACGCACTGATATAATCAAGGGGAAACGGAGAGAACGGCGAGAATGGATGGCGGTGTAAGGGTGAGCGTTTGTTGAGGCAGGTGATAGGTGGGTCTTAGGTTATAGGGAAAGAGCTCCTCAAAGACAATCAACGCCCAGGTTATGACTAGATTAAGCTCATTAAGTATCCAAATGCTCCCTATCAGGAAAGTTAGTATTCGAATCACACTATGCAGGTTCCCGCGCGAAACATGATTGTGCAGTTGTGCCACGTCGTAAACGATATATTTGAAGTGTTTGTCGGCCTGCGACCTTTCTGTTGGGAGAACTCCGCCTAGCGCCTTGCATAAAGCTCATGTCATGTTGTAGGGAATTATACTAAGAGTTATAGCAGTCTGGCCTCTCAACTTTAGCCACTGCATGTTTTTCGGCCAGGTGTTGGCCCGCATGAACGCCTTTAGTCCAGCTTCAGACAATGTCGGCCTCTTATTTCGGGCCTGTGCCATAACCAGCATCGTTCTTGGGGTCCTCTGCCAACAACTCTGCGCTGTATACACGCTTGTAGTCCTGCTCACTCCAGCCCTGTTGTTGAGCGAGACCGCTCAGGCTCAGGCCTCGTGACCTAGTTTTCTTGATCGAATCCCCCTGCGGGGCACCGACGGGTGTTGATCCGTAGTTAAGCGGCACTACTCCCTGGCCGGGGGGTGGGAAGGGGGTTGTGCCTGAAAGCGATGCGACTGTCTGGCCAGCAGTGACGTTCTCGGGTGTTTCAGAGTCAGCAGAGAACTCTGACGAGACGGATGCTTGTTGCGCTCGCTTCAGTGCGTTCTCGTAGTTGGCCGAGCTTGCTCGAGCCATACCAGGCCGGCGATAGCCAGTGTAAGCCCTAACAGCTTCAGTTGGTCCATTCTCTGTGGCTGTCTCGTTTCCTCCACCAGCGCCCATCAACGGCAGTAGACGTGGATCAGGAGCTGCTGAGTCGGTCTGCGAGACGCTGTTGGAAGTGAAGGCAGCTTCAGCTTCGGAACGTGTGTTGGGCGTGAGGCCGGATGGGGTAAAGGCGCCCGATGAGAGGAAGGAGCCTTCGGTAGGCGGCATGAGAGATGGTCGTGGGCTCATAATGAAGATAGTATATCACTGCAAGGTCTTGGTGTAAGCTGGCAGATTCCGCCCATTGGCTGTGCGCGTGAACGTACGTGCAATGTGTACACTAAACTTTGGGTGACCTGGTAGCGCGTATCGTGACGGTAGTGTGATTGGTGGGTATTGCTTCCCTGTTCGTTGGACAGTTAGCAGAGTGGTTCCCCGAAGGACCGCAGAGGCACCGTACCGAACGCTCAGGGTTCTTGGATATGCAGGTGTAGTAAGAGAATCGTAATTCTTCGTTGCCGCCTCCCTTAAGCGACTGCTATCTATTTGAACAATAGCGGCTGATGCTATGCCATCATACCTTGGCGGGTGACGTCTTTTCAGGGTCCAGACTTGCGGGGCCCCTAACCGTACAGGGCAGCCGTCCGCGCTGCTCAATCAACGATGCTGTCGATTGCAACCAGCCGCGAGGGTTTTGCTGATCGCTTACCTACTTGATGTGGAGTGGCCTTTGTGCAATAGGCGGGAATGGTCCGGTTGCAAGCTCTGAGCGGAGAGAAGACGTGCACCATGCATGTCACGGCGCGTCAGGGCGTTGTTGACTTTCGGAACACGGGACATGGGTGAGTATTGATTCTATTAACCTCAATTGAATATCCACCCGCTATCTACCTACTCCATTACTTTGAGATCGAAATCCTAAACCCTTGATATGTTTAAACATTAACTCAGATACAGCATACGACCACTGTGCCGAGTAGTATAATCTTGCCCTCAAAATATCAGGACCGTCATGACGAAACTGCGAAGCCATGAGACAGTATCTAAGGTGATGTCAGCGAGGAACTTAGCCAGCAACTGAGTCGAAATCCTTTAACATACAGCAGTACTTTGACCACAAAATCGTTCAACAAATGTTGACCTAAAGGTTGGAGTGGCAAACACCAACGGCCGCCTCGACGGTAGCAGTAGCCTTGGAGCTGCACGCGACGAGTTCAGAAATAGCAACCGAGACATCAATGCCGACCTTGGCTCCAATAATAGGGAGATCAATGTCGACGTTGGCTTCGATGGCGGCGAAATCAATACCAGCGCAAGTAGCGATAGCACCGAAACCTGTGAATCGAGCGGCAGTGACGCAAGTACCGCACGCCGCGTTTTGAGAGCAACCTGATCTGGCTGAATCTATGCGGGCATCGAGGGAAACCAGAAGTTGGCGTTCAACGCGACGAACGGATTCAAAAGCGTCAGTGACCTCGACTTTGTTGGTTACGACTGCCGGTGCAAGCTGGCGGCGTGCGGTCTCCGGAGCGATCATAGCAGAGAGTTCGACCGAGATGTCAGTGAAGACAATTTGTTTAATTGGAGCAGGCCAAGCTTCGACGACTCCAACAGGCTGCTGAAGGATAGCGGTCCAGTCTTCGACTTTGATCGTGGCAAAGTCGTCAGTGTTGAGTAGGTTGACCATCGCATTGGTTGGAACGTCGCATTGCTCGGCAAGGTCCTCAATTCGTACCGCACCCACGGAGACGTCAACATCGACATCGATATCGGCAGATGCGTCAATCTTGGCGGATGCGTCGATGTTGGCAGATGCGTCGACGTTGGCAGACGCGCCGATGTTGACAGATGCGTCGATGCTGGCAGATGCATTAACGCTAACAGCTGTTGCCATACTGGCGGTAGCCAGAAGCAGAATCTTGACGAATGAAGCAGTCATTGTGAGTTGAATTAGTTAACGAGCGTTGTAATTAGGGTAAGGAGTGAAAAGGGTGGGTGAGATGCTTGAAAGAGAGTAGTAGTGAGATAGTGTTTAAAAGGTATGCGCTTCTCCCACCTTTTATAAGTCTCACGGCCTCACCAAACATAACTCGCCGTCCTCCGTGATTATCAGAACACAGCTTTCGATGTCGGGCCCGGAGTGAGTAATTTGCGACATAGTGCTAACCATCTCACAGGAATTTGTTCTACTGAGATCAAGATACGATGTCAGCAATGGTGAGAGCATACCAAGCCTACAATCATTGCCTAAGGAAGTAACAGCATCAGCCCTAAGGACGGAACGACTCATGTTCTCTCCGAAAGTGGCTCACTCCAGACAAAAGCAGATTTATCAAGAAATGGCATTCAGGCACCAAGCGAACAGACGATGCCAGAAGAGGCAATTGAATTGACCCCAAGGACTTGGACCACTAACCCGAAGGGCAAATAGACACCAGACGTCAGCGACGGGTATGGTCTAGTCTCCCCCGACTGCCTCAAACGCTCCAGAACAGATCAGCCCAGTTGCCCACATCAGGGGCGGCCCGAACAGACCGGCCCGATAACTCCGACCTATCCGTACAACTGGATCGGTTCGTCCGTCTAGATCTGTCAGACTGTCTAGGCCGGGCCGATCACGGCCTTGAGAAGTTTCCAAATCACATTGCTCCTATCTCTGCCAAGAATGCTACGTCGAACTTCGCATCTTCTATCTGCCATAGTATATCTATATATTTGTGGTTGAGATCAACTAGTCCCATGTAAACTCTTTCTAGCTTGGTGAAAGCCTTCTTGTCATATTCTTAGCATACTCGGCTTCATTTGCTCAAATTAATCCTCGTCGTATTCGGTGACCGGCTCCAACGTCAGCATCTGATACCTGAAAGGCTTTAGGTAGGGTACCTGAGTAGTTTCTGGAAGGGCTCAGGCTGATGACGTCTCGGGCCAGTAAGTCAGTAACACTGACACGTCTTTATGGATCTGTCAGCGGTGAACCAGTAACGACTGTTGTATTTCACTATTTATGGTAAGGAGCGACTATAGTACCGGTAGTGACTGGCTGAATGGAACATGGGAAGTTACAATTTGGTACGAGATCAAGAGATCCAACATCTCAACAACCACCCTCAAAGCGATAACGATCATCCTCGAGGTTACAGACCAAGCTGTGCGCGTCCAGTATCGAAGAAGGATATTCGAATCTACAGGACCATCTTGTGGCCTTGGCGTATGTGATCACGAAGTTTGTCCAGGCGGTAAAACTTCATGTCACAGTCGTCGACAATGCACTTTAGGATAGGGTCTTGATGCTTCCGCATGTGGCGGCGGTAATCGCCAGGGCGGCGGAAGGGCTTGGTGCAGCCATCAACGGTGCAGCTGATGCGCGTCTCGGCAGTGCGGTGACGAGCGTTGGCACGTGCACCAGAAGGCTGGTTAGGTGGTGCAGCCACGTTCATCTGCGCAGCAGTAGCTGGAGCAATGGGTTGGAAGGCATGACCCGTTCCTGCTGCAGGGTACGAAGGCTGAGTCGGGAAAAAGTCGGGCTGCGAAGGCAATGGCATCGATGTCAAGAAGCTGTCATCCATCGAAGGAGCACCGAAATCATCGAAGGCAAAGTTACCGAACACACTAGCATCTCCGGTATATGGGTAAAAACTGCCGTTGGTGTTGTATGGATCCGAGGGGCCAAGGAATTCTTGAGTAAGAGCCTCGTGCACAGAAGAGGTACCAAGTTCTTGTGGGTACCCATGGCCCGAGCGCAGGTCTGTTGGCGCCAGTCCTTCAGGAGGGGTGTGATGGAATACCCCCAGAGCGCAAGACGAAAAGGCATAACTGCATAGTGTTAAAAAAAATTACCTTTGATTGGCTGCGCAACTGTGTGTCTGTGCGCTCGCGGCTGTAGTTGACGTAGCCAGCCGAATGTCCTGCCAGCTGAAGGCAGATCGTCTATCTTCGTCGAAGAACTCCATATCTGGGTTGATATTGTCGCTCAATCTCGTAGGACATCGTTGCTGATACGAGTGGTTCATGGTAGTGAAGAATGTTCGTGAGTGGAATGACAAAGTCGTGAAGGAACGCGTAAGCAATGCACTGTGGCTGGTTCGTGTAGGTGATGATGATTGTCAGAACGACAAACAGAAGCTGTGGATAAGAGGGAATAGGTAAGAAGAGCCAGGAAGACAACCGGGTGGAGAGTGCTAGGTATACACACAACAAAAGGCAACATGGTCAGTCAAGGGGCGGCCAATAGCACGACGCTGTCACGAAGGGCGCCTGTTCGCCGAATGATTGGTTGATTCTTGTCAGCCTCAGTCTGCACACCTTCAAAAGGCTTCATCTAAGGCTGTAGCTTTCGATGTGAATAGACATCTACAGGCTGCACACAACATTGATCATCCGACTATGGACTGTAGCGAAGTCTTTCGTTGCCATCAATGCTCTAAAGCTTTCAACACTTTAGGCCGCTACAAGTAAGCTTACAAACTACGGGCACCCTACTCTTCTATTAGACGCTAATGTTACGATAGTCAGCATTTGAAGACGCACTCAAAGCCATTTCAATGCGGCGAATGCACTAGGGGCTTTGCTCTGCGTTCTGATCTTACTAGACATGTGCAGGCACGGCACCGACTCGGCGTAGCTCGACATGCATGCCCCGTCGTGGGCTGTCCATTTCGTGCTTCTCGCAAGGACAATATCCGTCAGCATCTCCAGAAAAGTCACCCGCAGGTTAATTCCGGTCCTAAAACATCTAAATCGAGTCGCCGCCGAGTAGGGCCTGATACCACCTGTTCATCAATTACACTTCGAGAATCACTAAGCACTCAAGGAGACGTGTCGTTGGCGAATACCTCGACCTTGATGCAAGCAGCATCGGCAGGCAACATTGGTCTTGTGAGAGTTGTCATCCAACTAGGCATAAACGTATCTACACAAGCTGATGATGGTTCTACTGCTTTACATTGCGCTTCCAGGGCCAACCAGGTTGAGATGATTGACCTTCTTATTACGTTGGGAGCTCAGTCAAGCGTCCGCAACGACAATGGAAGGACACCCCTACACGAGGCTGTATCCGGTCGTTGTATACCCGCGTTCGGTGCCCTTGTGAAGAGAACAGCGGATATCACCAAACATGTCCTCCGAGAAACAATAGAGACAGACCAGCATGGGCTTTTCCAGCAAGCTTGGGAAAGCTGTCCCAAGGAGATGCTTGGGACTATCGGTCGTAGTCTTTTCGATATTGCAGCAAGCTCCACACAGACAGCGACTATGGCTACACTACTGTTGCTACCTGATATCACACCAGAGTGGATTTTCAGCGACATGATTTCCACCATACGCCGGATCGTCCTGAAAGAGCAGATAGCTATGCTGGAATGTTTACTAGAATCTACGAAGTTAGATCCTATCATCAACAAATCTATCGGCGGTTGGAGTACTGGCAATCTGATTCACTTTGCCGCCGCCCATGGGCGCGCTGAGGTTGTTGGACTTCTTCTCAAGTACAAAATCGTCGACCCAAACCTGGTACCAGCATTTTGTAGACTCTCACCTATAAACATTGCAGCTTCGCGTGGTCACTTCGAAATCGTGGAAAAGCTACTTGAAGACCCTGGTATCATTCTGAACTCTAGGACGGGGTGGGGAAATTATGCAACAAACCCTCTGCTTCTTGCTTGCCGAAAGGGGCACGTGGAGATCGTACGATTGATGCTCAAAACCTTCGACGAACGGGGACTTGATGTGGATGATACAAGCGGATGTTTTTACAGAAGAACGCCTTTTCAAACCGCCGTACTCTCTGGACATACAGAGGTCGTAAAGCTCTTGCTGCTTCGGCAGGATATCGATGTAAACAAAATCGTCGGAAATACACGGTGGAGCATATGTCAGGTAGCAGCATGGCGCGGGCATGCTCAAACCTTGGATGTGCTGCTCGAGGATTCCAGGACTGATCTAAGCAATACAATGAATGGCCGAGTTTCATTGCTATTCAAAGCCGCCATGGAAGCACGTTGGCCTTTAGTTGAAGTCCTGCTCGATTATGACGAAGCCTCTCCGCAAGATACGATACGTAAACTCTCCACCCGAACAAACATCGTAGGAAACCGTATCGATATTCTGGAGAATCTCCTAGTCGATGAAGGATTCCGTGAACACTGCACGAAACAAGGAAGAGTGAACCTCTGGCTAGTGGCCGCAAGAACCAATAATCTAGCACTCGCGATGCTCCTCCTTGAACACACCCAGAGGAACAAAGGAATGCACCATCCTGCTACGGATGTCAATCGTAGAGATAGCACGGGTGATACACCACTACATGTTGCGTTACTATCTGCAAGGATTGGTGTTGTAGAGCTCCTGCTTCACCACAAGGATATCGACATCAATATCATCTCGAAAGGATGGGCTGGGGACTCTGCCGTACAGAGGGCAATAAAGTACACCAAGTACAGCTGGAAGCCTAAGGAAGCTCCCTCTTACATAATAGATCTTCTTTTAGCCCATGGTGCTCAGAAGCCGCACAAACGAAACGACGACACGAACAATCTCATTCTTCCACCATTACCCACCCAAGCGGAGGACTCAAACAATCTCATAATGCCATCCTTATTCGAGTGTGCGGACGCAGAAGGTTCTCATTCAGCCAGGGGAAAAGAAAATCTGAGACAGAGCACGCATGCGTCATGGGCTTCAATTGTTGGGATCCAAGGCAATAGCGTTGGGTCTGGAGAGATGGATAGAAACGACAATGTGTTGGGCGACATGACCCCGAAGTATTCGGACGACTGGTTGGAAGAAGACCCTGACGTAATTTTCGAGGAGTGGATGCACTTCGACGGTGGGGAAATGATCGAAGATAATTGCTCAGAGATGCTGGATTAGAGAATGTCCTGTAAAGCGCTTATTGGTTCCGTTCCCCCCCTAGGAGAACGCGTTATGTAGTACTCGAAAGATGCCTTCGCTTGGGTGTGGTAGGTCCGTTCGTCCTACAAAATTCTGAGGAACAGCGAATGAATGAATGCATGCACAAGAAGACTGGCAAAGTACATGTCTATATACATTCTAGGTCAAATATCCACAGCGAAAGTAAACAAGCGTAATCTATCTCAACCCATTCGATCATCCCAAACGCATGCGACATCGCTCGTCTCGTCGCCCCGCCAGACATTTCCCGGGACATTCTTTGCCGCAACAGCAGCTCTTAGCTGTGTACCTAGGTCAGGCGGGCCAGAGCCGATGACTTGGGTTCTTCCCTGTTCGACTGTCTCGCTCATGAAGGTATCGACCAGAGAAGGAACATCAGGACGCGCATTGTTTAGCCATATGATTCTGAAGTTAGGGCACTGACGGCTCAGTTCCTCAACTCGGCGGTCGAAAGGCATGGTGTCAATAGAAGTTGCTTGAGACAGTGAATCGCTATCACCAAAATCGTTGCTTTTGTCCACAGGAGGTTGCCAAGAGGCTTGTTGATGCTTTCTTGGGTCAGGCCGAGTCACAAAGATGTTGATCCTGAAGCGCTTCTTTGCCTCAACCGATACTATCGGTGCCTTCTCTAGCTTGTCCTCATTGTAGGGCGAATCTGCCTGGGATCTATCGAGTTGTGACTTCAGATATGCCAACTCAGAGGCAATCCATGCAAGGTTCTCCAGGTGTCGCACAGTCCAGACTAGTTCGATGTTGCGCGCGGGAGACGTGTCGCTTAACGCTTTCATGATAACGGGCAGGGTGTACGTGATTCCTGTGCCACCAGAGATGGCGAGGATGTTTGAGAAATCGTCATTCATGATAGCGCTGCCGTATGGCTAAATGAAGGTATACGAAGTCAGTGTATGTCTTGCATGCAATTCTTACTGAAACACTTACGCCCATCATAATAACTGGTGTCGACGCTTCACGGCGTGGGTAGCAGTTGGCGGCCGATTCAGCGAGAGCGGCGAGTTTGGCGGTTTCGCCATTGCAAGCGCGGATGATGTAGGTATGGCTCTGAATTGAGGAGGAGCTTGTGGGGTTGGATGCTGGGGTGAAAGGATGCGATTGCCAGATGTTGAGCGCGGGAAACGTGAGGTAGAAGTGTTGCCCGATTTCCCACGCTTTATGGGGGTGAGCAAACGTCATCCTTACAATCGTTCCAGTTGGATCTTTAAATGTCTCCATGGTTGTAGGAATAGAGCGGAAGCCGAAACCAAGACCTCCATCTTTGTACCCAGTGTGTATGAGCCAGGTGCGAATTGTGCGCACCACGAGGTCGAACCCCATAATGGCCAAAGACGCGATCATCCAACATGACAGTTTCTCCCAATGGCCCCAGCAAGCCCCCAGATAAAGGCCAGCGACGACGAGATGTGATTTACGGAAGAACTCATAACCCGTCCAGCGGATTACTGGCCTGAGACTGAAGACGAATAGGAAAGTGATGAACCCTTGCGCGACACAGCCCCAGATCATGTACTTCTGACTGATCCATTCGTTGTACGTTGTTGGTTGCGGCTGGTATAGCTTTCCTTCAACAATGGTCCAGATAATGGCATGTACGAACGATTGGACAAGGATGATGCGGCCCGTCCAGCGGTGCAAGAAGTTGAAGCTCTGATATGGAATGCCGGTGAGCATACTGAGAATAGAGTCGCGGCTACAGAGGGCGATAGTCAAAGGAGTCAAAGCGAATGCAAAGGCACCAACGCGATCGGCAAAGCCGCCAATGCCGCTTCGGGTGTTGTGCAAACTTGTGCCTTTGACAGGTGTAATCCAAGTTTTGTAAGTGATACCGGCGAATCTTTCGAAAGTCAGTCGTATTGTATTTGTCATTGGAAATTTGACTCACGAGAAAGCTGTCAAATAAGCACATAGCATCGCCAAGATCAGAACCTGCAGCCTTGTAGTATATTTGAATACTTTCGAGCATTCAGGCATGAGGTGTCGGCGTATGGTAGAGGATCCCAGACTAACTAGGCGGTACAAGAGGCTCTGCTTCGCACCATCCCTTCTTTGCGGTCGAATCAGTCGAGACAAGAGCGTCAGAAGCAAGAGCGCGCCGAGTACAGCCCATAGAATGAAGGTGAAGATCATCGAGGTGTAGTGGTTGCCGTAAACGGCATCGAGATACTCGCACGATCCAGCATCGTTTGTACAAGGAAAATTGCGGACCGCATAGCCCCAGTAGTCGATTGTATATTCAACATCAGAGTCGGTTTGTATGTGACGGGCGGCCAGCACGTTATCGGTCGAGTTGGGAAACATTGTAATGAGAGGACGCAGCACAGCTGCAAAGAAAGAAGAATAAGAACAGGAAAGAACGGTATGATATGGTCAAATACGCGGTGACATCGTGATGGCATAGATGAGGAGGATGTCCAGTTAATAAACTAACACTGTACCCAAATTTCGTGGGTTCCACTACGTAATTGGACCAAGCCTTGTCGTGCGGTTGGCAAGATGTGGGTTCCGCTGTCAGGTTCCTTCGAGTCGAACGTCCAATCGTATTTTTTCCGTTCCTGGCCCTGAGACAAAACGTTACCCACATACCCGTACTCATGGCACCGATTGTTTAGGAGCGCGGAACGAACACCCGGAACAACATGGAGCTGCCGATAAAAGGAAAGTCGTGGTAGACGGCTTTGGTGAAGTCGCATGAAGACCTTGATACTACGATGCGACACATGCGTCAGGCGGCTGACGGAAATATTGATGAATTTTTGAGTGGATGCCCAATCTTGGTGAAGACAGCTAAAATATTGAGTATAGGAGCAGGCCACAAGTGGGTTTCTTCCATATCCCTTGATCGTTACAATTGCTTTGCGTAAGCACATGCCTTTGACACTTTGGCGCTTCTACCGTGCATTCGCATATCGCACATCGCAGGGACCCGAATGTGCGCAATCCCATAGGAAACCCGGTGGTTGGTTCTCGATTCGGCCACCATAGTTATGACAGCGGCATAGTAGCGGGGCGATGCTGATGGTTTGACGATGGAAGGGAAACGTGAAACAGGCGTGAGGTGCCTGTGCCTGTGCTTCGGCTATCGGCAACCAACCGTGGCGCTACGGCTATATACGACTAAGTGTCGCGTCATCCATAATTTACATACCACACCGCAGACACAGCTATTACACGCATCTCAACGTTGCAGTACTTTCATCTCATATAAAATCGTTACTGATATTCCGAGCTCATGTCGTGCTCACCGGAAGTATTCCTTCGCAACGTCTGTGGCTGCTCCGATGCAACGCATCAACTGCTCATACCACCATCCCTCTCTTGCCTATCAAGAGACTCTCGGTCACCTTGGCCTGCATCTCCAAGTATGGTTTCTTGCTGATCGGAGGCATCAACGCGGTGCTGCCATCCCAACGGTCTGAGCCATAGGTGGCTCGTATCGTCATCTAGCCGCTCGAATCCATCATCGCTCACTACCCTCACACCAGCGGACTTCGATTCAGTGTTCGCAGACTTCTTCCCTGAGCCATAAGGTGTTGGTGTAGACCGGCGGAGGAGTGGATGCATCAGGGGAACACAGGCAAGAACCACGGCAAGGCAGGGCTCTAGACAGCTGAAAATATTGGCTCTCGGGATTGTGAAGGTAATATCAGAAAAGTCCATACTGGACAAGACAGAGATGCGAAGGGCGCTAATGATGCACGTACTGTTCCCGTTAGACCATGGTTCGGACTGAAATCTTGCTGTAACTTACAAGATACCCAGGCCAAAAACGGTAACGAGGGCCACTCTCTTGTACATAGCCATCTGGAGGTGGTAAAGAGCGTGCATGGGTAAGAGAAGCACTATAACATCAGTGAAGACGTTGATGATTCCACTGATCGTGAACGACATGACCTGGTTGCCGCAAGTTCCTCCAGGAATCGTTTTGTCCCAATTGAACGCGATAGGCCGGCAGATCAAACAGCCAGCAAGAATCGTTCCGATTGTCCAAGCAATAAGAATAGCCATGGTTACGTAGGAGCCCCAAACAATCCATCGAATTGGGAAGATAAAAACATACAGAGTAAGGATCGACATCTTGGTACAAGTGAGGCTGAGAACCCAGAGAAACTGCAAGGGTATAATGATCTGCGAGAGCTTGGTGATAGGTTCCAGGCCGTATTCTGCTACGATATCCTTGACGTGCCCGTAGCCAATGCCAGCGTGGAAGACACCAGTGATGCTGATTGCTTGCAAGCCAACGGCGAAAATCTAGACCTGATTAGTGGTAGTCACGATTGCTAACTCTAGGCTTCTTACACAGGCAGTGATGATGAGATAGTCGGCGGGTGTCCATCTTTTGCGGGCAATCTTGTGAGCAGTCAACCGCAAGACAACGGCGAGGACGGCAAGAAAGGAGAAAGAGAATGCCACACCTAGGACAGCCTTTTGGTCATGAGTATGGACAGGAAATGTGGCCATGTTTTGCAGACCCTCAAGAATAAGACTCTGCACTGCCCGCAATCACGGGTGCGGTGTTGTGGTATAAAGGTTTTGGCTGTGGAACAAGAGGGCAATGCTGTCGACAAGGTAAGAACATGCTCAGCTGGCAATGCTTCCTTGTGAAGCTTGGTAATCCTGTAAGCGGGTCTCATATCTAGAGATGTTTGCAGTGCTAATCAAGAAAAACCTTGGCTTCTTCCCACAGGACTCCAACAAGAGCCTTGTGCGAGCTTGAAGGGCCGTTTCCTCCCCCAGTTTGGGCGCTTAATCTGACTAGTACATCACCTACACCACTAAAGGTGCAACTACATGAGTCCCATCCGGCTGGTATCCTCTCGCATATCTTGTCAAGCGTCGTATGTCTCATGCTGGTCGGATGCGCAACAGTTATCTCCTTGTGTCAAAGACCACAGATAGATCTGTGTATGTGATCTTGGTTGAATCTGCGCGTTCCGCTCCCGGACCGGGAGGAAGAGACGGGCCTACTGCAAAGACGCCGGATAATGCGCGTGATGTGACATGAAGAGTCTCGCCATCCGTATCCCGAGCATGTTCATACAGGGGATTTTCTGCCCTATCTCAAATCACGAGATATCTAATGACTGCTGATAAGTAGTCCCTCGATAGCCTAAGGTCTTCGGTATTCCCAACTTTCATTTTGGGAGCGATGGCGGTACCTGCAATGTCAGTCTAGTTGAATGTAAAGATATCCGCCATACGCGCTACCAGGGGCATTCCGCCGAGACGCTATCATCAAAACTCGATACTTTCGTTATCGCAATCTCGGATGGGCCGTGACATGGGTCACCGGGGATGTTGTTGCCGAATATTACTCTGCCTAACTTATTCAGGATAAGGCTCTTGAAGCAGAAACTTGAGTAATGTCGTACATTTTATCCGCCTTCTTGTGCTTTCAAGCAATTGCATCTCCCATAGCTTTCAAGGATTGATCTTCCAGCCATGTCCAACCTTATTGCGACCGTCCTTTTGGCCGTGAGCGCCCTGGCAGCGCTCTACCTCTACGCCAACAACAAGAGCCAGAATGCATATCAAAAGCCCCTCCTTAAGCTTCCCCTTATTAGTGATCTTCATAGCTCTCCGATCGAGAAACCATTGATAAACTGGAGCGCTTGGTCTAAACAACACGGGCCGATTACAGTTCCCAAGTTGTTTGGAATTGTACCCATTGTCGTACTCAATTCGTACGAGGCCGTCACTGAACTTTTCAGTCGTCGCAGTCAATGGTACAGCAACCGGCCGACTTCCGTAAGCATGGAGATGATTACGGGGGCCGCCCCAGGCTGTTCTCGATTTACGCTGATGCACGATTATGACGACCATCTCAAGCTCCATCATCGCATCCTCTCACCAAGCCTGGGTGCGCCTGCAGCGGCCAAATTCCAGCCGCTGATGGAACTCGAGGCCAAGCAACTGCTCTTTGACCTCGCTACTGCCTTGAGGAAGTCCGCAGACGGTTCCACAATCACTACGAAGACCATCTACCCTTTACTCGAACGAACCCAATCTAGCGTCATTCTTGCCCTTCATTATGGCCTCCGCATACCCAAATTCGAAGAGCTACTTCTCCATGAAGTTATTGCCATCCAATCTAAAGTCACTCACCTTGCCGCAAATCCTCAGCTTCCAGATTTTGTGCCCTTCCTTCGTTACTTGCCCGCCTCCATCTCCCCGTGGCAAAAATATGCTGACAAGCTCTACGCTTCTCAAGTTGACCTGTATATGCGCCTCTTTCGCCACGGTAAGGGCGCACCGGGTTGGAATGCAACAAAGCAAGCTATCACAACCGCATCAAAACACGCTCCTGTGGACTCGCCAGTATCAGATCTCGATCTTGCCTTCACGCTTGCGACATCTATCCAGGGTGGGATGGAAACGTCACCGCGCCAATTGCTTTGGCTCTTTGTCGCAGCTATACAGAATCCCGTTGTTTTGACCCGTGCGCATGAAGTGCTAGACCAGTTCGTTGGTCGCGAACGGCTTCCTAGATTCTCGGACCGGAATAACCTCGTCTACGTTGACGCTGTCGCACATGAACTGTTCCGCTGGCGGCCTATCTCTCCAGGGTCTATTCCACGGCGTGCGGACCGTACGGACGAACTCGATGGCGTGAAGATTGCCAAAGGCGTAACCATCATGGCAAACGCATGGGCCATTGGCCGCGATGAGGTGGTTTTTGACGCTTCACTTGGTGACGCACAAGACTTTGTCCCTGAGCGCTGGTTACGTAATGGAAAGCTTCGCGGTGACCTTCCACTTCCTGTGTTTGGCCAGGGTCGAAGGATTTGCCAAGGAAAGCGTGTTGCTACAGACGGAACTTTCATGAACATCGCGCATCTACTCTGGGCGTTCGATGTAGAGGCTCTAGAGGGTGAGGAGGTGGATCCGTGGGAGATGAGAGTCGTTGGCTTCATGACTGAGCCTAAGCCTTTCAAGTTCCGTCTCAAGCCTAGGGGAAAATGGGTGCTTGATGTGGTGAGTAAGGAATGGGACAGTACCGAGAAGAGTTTAGAGGAGGTGATGGGTATTTCTCATGACGTTGAGAAGTAGCATTGAATTTCTCAAATAGAGCATAAGTAAGTATCATGTTGGGCATATGGATACTCCTAACGTGGTAGTGTCCGGGTAGCTATACAGTAGTTCGGAACAGGATGGTGGCTCTGCAAAAGAACTTGGAAGCCACCGACGGCCTATCGTTTGGGTTGTATCCTCCAGGGATACGGGCTGCCTCTTCCATCGTTACTGCGACAGTACCAACTACAAAAAAAGACCCAGGAGCTATCTGGCGTACGTTGTAAATCTGGGGCAGACGAACTTCTTCGCAACAATGAGCTAGCGACATAACATAAGACGCGACCAAAGTGTGAAGACGCCTAATAATGATGAATTTGTGTAAAAAAAATAAGAGTATGATGTACACAAAGGTTAGATATACACTGGGTAGGCAGTAAAGTAATCAGCTTGTAGTGCTAATTGGGTATCGAGCGGTCGATAATAGGCGCGCTGGTGCGACGCATTCTGAGAACCCGTTTTGATTCAATTCCGACCGTCAACCTCGCGTGTAAGCCTCGTGCTCAGACTTTCGTTTTGCGCCGCTGTGTCGAAACATGCAGGTGTTATCCACTTAATAGCAGCGGGTTGTTGTTGCCGAGCGAAAGCAAATTCCAAGATTCCACGGTTCTCTAATGACGACGCCATCACGTGATGACGATCTGACGTGTGTTCGGAAACTCCGCATCTATCTCTGTATACTCTGCCCCTCTTCTGCACAATACTGTACAGTCGGCTCTAGTTGCACAGCTGAGTCGAGTTTCCTACTGCCTGGGCGAGTTCAAGGGGGCCCACACCCACCCGCCTGGCGACACGTATGTCGAACGCGACGGCAAGGTTTCGTCAAGCGCATTGATAGCCTATCGCTGAAACAACCGGAAAAAACAACCATGGATGAGCGCAACTTCGCAGGTTGGGTAGCATCTGCAGCTCATATGCATATCCCCTGGTGATTGGAACCAGCCTCATTATTCTTTATCAAACTGCAATTTTCTACAGTCACTTGAGCCACCCCCTCGCGTGTTGTCGGAGATGTCGGAGCATCTTCGTGTATGAAACAACTAGGAGCATCAAACCCTTGGGGTCGTTAACTGTATTGATAGTAGATCGCGCATTCCTCTGATAGAAGCCAGTGACCGTTGTGCTTTGTCTCGTTGACATACCCTGTTGTATCAATGTCAGACCATCCATACACTGCGAGTACGCGGCGACTCACCTAAAATTCCATCCACCTCTAGCTACGCACGTGTACGCCTTTGCAGTTTACATAAAATTGCTCTCCTCGCCCATAAGTATTACCCGGGTCTTCTCCGTTATCGCAATGGTTTCCTCGTCCTCTTTAATCCGCTGTCCACCTGGACCGTTCATCACCGCTAGGCATTGCTGGACGTGCAACTCATCGCGGAAAACCATCTCTCCAATTGCATCCCAATCTACATCCTCAGGCGACCCGACCAGGACGACTGGCGCATCTGGATCCGCTCGTCCTCTGCTTGATGTGACAGCGCCCAACCGGTCACCAGCCCCAGTCTTGACGCGTGCTATGTAACGCAACCTTAGAGACTGCGGTGGATGCATCTCAAACACTTCTTTGATCAATGGTACATGCGTTTCTTCCATATAAGATCGAAAGTGCTCCGGAGTAACATCTGGACGGCGCAGATAGAAATAAATAACTGATATCGGCATGTTGTTGTTATGGAAGGCAGGAAAAGAATCTAATCTCGGGATGCCGAGCGATCGTATCGTGGTAGACTGGAGTAAATGCGGTAGGAGAACACCGCACGCGACGAGAAAGCTAAAGTACGTTGCAGAAAGGGGGCGTCTTGGGGCATGCCTGCGTTAACAAATCACACAACAGTTCAAGCTTTTCAGGAGCTAAATGAGATCTGCTTATCATGATGGACGACGATACCCTACGAGTGGGACAACAACACACACTGACCGTGCGGAAGCCTTGCACGGATGACAAGACGAATTGGGCGACTGCGACAACGTTGCGCCCTGTTGGGGACAGTGGGTAGTGGGTCTGTGAACAACGTTTCGCGCCGGAGATGTCTCCGGCACCAGGGTCAGACTCCCATTCGCTTCTCATTGTTCTCCTTACTCTCGAATTCCCGCATCCAAGTGGTGCTGCGGACAGACGTGCAGCCTCACGCAGTGCCGCAAAGTAAAGAGATGGTTCGGGAAACTTGGCAGGAAGTCGCTCTCGAGGATCAGTCCATCGTTCCTTCAGTGGCTAATTGCTTACGCGGTGCCTTGCAAGTTCCCCTTCACGTGCTCTTCGACAACCCTTGTGGAAGGTATCGTCGAAACTCTCTTTTGTGATTGCGCATGATTCAGGACGGGAAACTATTCCGATGCGCACTGCTCATGAAAACGCTCAGGTGATGGTAAAGAAGGTGCCGCGCAGACGCTACACGAGTCTTACAGCGGGAATTGGCAAGTACTTCGTGACCCTTGCACGCTCGAGTAGCCGGCTAAAAAGCAAATCGGAAATGATCAAGTTCACATCCTCCGCTGGGTACCATTTGCTTGATATGGTAGCTTCTCTGGAAGGGCTCTCAGTTGTTGATCGCTGTAGTGTCTTGGGCCGTACCCCGCAGCGCGAGGGGCATCGGGCAATCTGGTACCGAACTGTCCGTCCATACAGTCCTCCACACTCCTAGCATCGCCCACGGGCCGGACCGCATATCCGAGTGCTATGATGGCGTTCTTGAATATCTTGGGAACTACAGATAATGACACCACCAGACGTGGCTTGAAGTCATCAATCAACTATTCTATAGGTCGTTCCAAGCATCTGAGTTCAAGGACAAAGCCAAGATGAAATTCCGCGATGGTATGAGTCTGTACGGCCCAAGTCATTTTCACTGCTTACAACTGCATAGGGATGTGGCTGGTGAACGACCGTTTCACAGTTCAACATGCGGAAGAAGTTTATACCGTCACGCCTCACGAAAACAACAAAGCGGTCACACTCTTATGTCCAAGTAGGAAGATCTTCACAAGAGGTGACACTTTAAATCTGAGCACCATCTCCATCGACATTGAGGCTCAATTTGATGGCGTTATTTCGCTCGAAGCCACGCACTTCGCTGGTGCCAGGCGTCTAGGTCCAAACTTTGATCTATACCCAGCAGGCAAACCCAACTGTACGGGTGAGATTAGCAAGACCGAGAAGGGAACTACGGTCGTTTCAGGCGGATTGAGCGCGACTGTTAGCTCTAATGAGCATACGTTCGACATCAAATTCCATGCAACGGACGGGTCAAAGACGTTGACTTCACTTCTCAACCGAAGCGTCGGGTTAGCGTACTCGCCAGCTCTTAGTACACCCAAGCTTGTGGAAGATCTGAGTGCACATAAACATTATATGTTCACTCAGACTGAGTTGGGTGTTGGCGAAACTATTCACGGCCTGGGTGAACGTTTTGGTGCTTGGAACAAGATCGGTCAGAATGTCGAGGTATGGAACGAGGACGGGGGTACTTCAAGCGAGCAGGCGTACAAGAACGTGTCATTCTGGCTGAGCTCGAAGGGTTATGGTGTCTTCATCGATACACCCGACAAGATCGATATGGAGATCGGCAGCGAACGATGCTCAAGGTTGCAGACTACAGTTGAGGGACAGCGTTTGAAATGGTGAGTATCGTGAACGGCTTCGATAATTTGCTTGGCTAATTTCTAAGGTACCTTATCTACGGACCAACTCCTAAAGAAGTGCTGACTAAGTACTCCATTCTCACTGGCAGATCGAATAGAGTTCCAGCGTGGTCGTACGGTCTCTGGCTCAGCACATCGTTTACAACATCTTACGATGAGCAGACAGTCCGTCATTTCGTCGAAAAGATGTCTGATTCCAAGATACCAGTCGAAGTGTTCCATTTTGATTGCTTTTGGCTCCGTGCTTTCCACTGGTGTGACTTCATCTGGGACCCCGAAAGCTTTTCAGACCCGGCAGGTCAGATCAAGCGCATGAAGGACGACGGACTTATTAACAAAGTCAGTGTTTGGACGAATCCCTACGTTGGTCAGGCAAGCCCCGTGTTTAAGTATGCTGCCGAGAAAGGCTATCTGCTGAAGAAGACGAACGGAGATGTATGGCAGTGGGATCTTTGGCAGACCGGCATGGGGATCGTCGACTTTACAAACCCGGAGGCTTGCGATTGGTTCCGCGAGTGCATGGAGAAACTCTTCGATGTGGGTGTGAACTCTATCAAAACGGATTTCGGCGAACGTATACCCACGAAGAACGTCCAGTGGCATGACAAAAACGTGGATCCAAGTCGTATGCACAACTACTACGCTTTCATCTACAACAAGCTGGTCTATGAGGCAGTGCAGAAACGAGAGGGTGAACACGAAGCGATATTATTCGCGCGCACGGCTTGTGCGGGATCACAGCGCTTTCCGCTCCACTGGGGCGGTGATTGCGAGTCGACGCCTGCTGCACTCTCTGAATCGGTGCGCGGAGGGCTAAGTATCGGGCTTGCATCCTTCGCATTCTGGACAAGTGATATTGGTGGCTTCGAAGGAAGCCCACCACCTTGGATCTACAAGCGCTGGGTTGCCTTCGGACTGCTCAATTCCCACAGTCGACTTCACGGTTCGAACTCATACCGTGTACCATGGCTAGTCGACAACTCATCAGCAGAGCCTGAAAACTGCACTGAGGTCCTCCGACACTGGGTGCAGCTCAAGCGCAGCCTCATGCCATATCTCTTCGCACAGGCCGAAGAGAGCGTCGCTAATGGCTGGCCTACTAGCGTTCGTGCGACAGCTCTTGAGTTTCCAGATGACCCAACATCCTGGTATGTGGATCGCCAATTCTTTGTTGGCAGTCAGATCCTAGCTGCCCCTGTCTTCGAAGAAGACGGCAGCGTTGAGTACTACCTGCCACCCGGTCGTTGGTTCAGCTTTTGGGACGGCAAAGAAGTAGAGGGTGGCAGGTGGATCAAGGAGAAGTATGGCTTCCTCCAATTGCCGTTGTTTGTCAGAGAAGGCACTGTGTTGGTGCTCGGACAAGCACAAGGCGAGGGCGGCTTTGGCTATGACTGGCTCGCTACTGGTGGTGAAATTAGACTGTATGGCGTGAGGGAAGGTGACAAAGCGATTTTGGTGGATAACAAAGGCGAACAGAAGGGCGTCCTAGAGGTCAACGCCGATGGTGAGCTCAAGGGTGGGGATGTACTGGGTGGGGATTGGAAGGTCTCAAAGCTAGGATAGGCAAGCGGGCCGGCCATCATGAGGGGCCATGCATCCTGTACTTGTGATCGTTCGTAGTGACGGGCTTCAAACATGAAGTAGAGCCGCTGTAACGGTGCTACATCAGCGAAGCGAGCCGGTGGTAGACGCTATCCATTGGCGGAAATTCAACATACCTCCCCGCACGCTACTGCACCCCAACATCCTTCGACTTGTTCCCCGGGTTTTACTCACTCAGATCAGCAAATAATTTTCTACCAGCGGACACCTCTAAAGCTTGTGTATGAGCGGACAGTGGAAGCTAGGCGCGAACTTCCGGTTAAAATGCTTGTTACGCGAGGCTGCCCTGAGGATGTAACATGACCAGCATGCGTCGATGGCGCGAGTACATGATTGCTTGGGCCAATATATACCTGCTGCAGTAGCACGTTGATTTCAAGTGTTTTATCAGTATTCCGTACCTCATCCAGTCTTCGTTGTGTCGGTAGACGAAGGCAGCAAGCATGGGTCTCATTTTCAACATCGCCCTTGCGATCTTCGCCGGCACGGGCAGCTTCCTCTTCGGATATGATTCCGGAGTGATGACAATTGTCATTCAATCCCCAAACTTTCTTGAGTTTTTCGACACAAAGAAAACATCTCCAGTCATTGGAGCCATCAACGCAACTTTCTCAGGCGGAGCGTTCTTTGGTTCGATGATGTAAGAGAACGGCCTTGCGTAAAGTTCCCGACATATATTGACGAATGCTAGGGGAGGATTCACGATGGACAGATTCGGCCGCAGGAAAACGATCATGATGGGTGCTTTCATAAACTTGATTGGAGCGATACTTCAATGCGCTGCTCAAGATCTCGCTATGATTCTCGTTGGACGAATCTTGGCTGGGTGGGCAGTAGGTTTGATGTCCATGTCTGTCCCGATTTACCAGACTGAATGTGCTCATCCTAAAACACGAGGTCAGTACTTTTGAATCCGCTCCGAACTCCAACCACTCATATGCTTAGGTCTCATAACTGGTCTTACCCAGCAAATGATTGGTGTAGGTTTCATTGTCTCGACATGGGTTGGTTACGGCTCCTCGAAAGTGCCCGCAACGTCGTCGTTCTCTTGGCGCTTTCCACTTGCCTTCCAATGCATCCCGTGTCTCATCATTCTATGCGGTATGCTGTTCTTCCCCGAATCACCGAGGTACCTGGTCGAGATCGATCGTGCAGACGACGCTCTGAGGGTACTCAAGAAACTGCACTACGATGGCACGAACGGCGAATGGATCCAGAACGAATTCAATGAAATCAAATTGACTATTGACGCTGAGAAGGCGATTACAGCGCCGGGCTGGAAGGTCATGTTCACCGTCCCGGTATGGCGGAAGAGACTCATGCATGCTACCCTGGTCCAGGTGTTTACGCAGATGACTGGGTATGTAATTCGCAAGTTCGTCAACGTAATCATACTAACTTGCTGTTAGCATCAACGTCATAGGCTACTACTCCACCATTCTCTACGAGAATTTGGGCATAGTCGGAGACCGCAACCTTCTCGTCACCAGCATCTACAACGTCGTCGGTCCTATATTCAACCTGTTCTTCATCGTCTTCCTTCTCGATCGCGTAGGTCGCAAGAAACCGCTTCTCTTCGGCACGATCGGTATTACCATCGCCCTTGTCTGCGAGGCAATCATCGGATCTCAGGTTGAAGGCGCTACCGGTTCCCGAAGAGATTCGCTATCTGCTGCTGGAGTCTTCTTCTTGTTCCTAGTGTCATGCATCTTCAGTATGTCGTTTGGCCCGATCTCCTGGGTATATGCCAGCGAAATCCTTCCACTGAGTATTCGTGGGCGTGGATCTGCCTTTGCGACTGCTTTCGGTAACTGGCTTGTTGGAACAGTGTGGAGTCAGGTGTCACCGATTGGGCTGGGTGAGATCACTTACAAGTTCTACTTCATCTTCGTGGCCTTCAACGTCTGTGTTACATTCCCCACCATCTGGTTCGTGTTCAAGGTACGTGCAAAATCCGAAAAGCTCACGGAGGAAATAATCGTTGACATGTATTTCAGGAAACCAAGCAGCTTACACTTGAGGAGATCGATCTGCTGTTTGGTGATCGTGCGCTCGGTACGCTCCCAGACAACTTGGACGATAAGCAAAGGGAGATAGAGCTGGAGAGGATCAATGCTGCGAAGCAGAAGCTTGCTGGCTCGAATGTGACTGCTGTACACTAGGTGACATCGTCTAGGCTCACTCTGCCAACCGCCTTCGATCAAAGTGAGGCGCGTATTGATACACTTGCGCCAGGAGATACTGGCAGTATACAACGAGGTCTGGCGCATGGTAGAATATACTCAAGTATGAGAAATATGCACATCCCAAGCGCCTTTCAGGGCGAGAAAAACATGAGCACGTACATCTGTGACGTTCTCGGGTGGAGTCATGATATGTTTATTGTCATTCGTCGGTGACATCTCTCTTGTGGCGCAGAGTAAAACTAGAGATCCCTCATGATATCGTCAATGGTAACAGGTTTCCTCACCGCATTCGAGAATCCTTCGTGGAAGGATACCCATATCCTCCCTACATTACCCTGCATCTCCCCACTATCCTGCTTCCTCTTCGCCTCTTTCCTACTCTTGTCTGTTTCGACAACCACCCTACCAAAGAAGTCACGTTTTACGGCCTTCTTGTTGGCTTCTGCAACCTTCTCTTCAGTAGTCTGCTCTTCCTTTTTGTCAGCCTCTGTTTCTTCGTCGTTTTCGTCTTGACCACCACGACGTTTGCGATTCGCTTGTTCACGGAGGGCCGACTCTTTGCGCCATTCTTGCTCCAAGACGCTGCGAACTGCATAACGTCCCTTGTCGTCCTTCTTGCCAGCCAGCGTCTCAAAGGTTGCTAAGACGTCTAAAGCAGGTTCCATTCGCCAGACGAAGCCAGCACTTCTGTTTGCCACGTCCTCGGTTTCGATTCGTGACTTTTCGAATCGAACACCAGTAGCTGCCATGGCTTCTACAGCCTTCTTGACAAGCTCTTTCTCCGAAGCCTTGCGCACAGAGGCGGTAGCGAATGACTTTGCTCCTGATGCACCAGTGTTGACGAGGACGGGTTTTACGTCGGGAGTTAACATACGCAAGACGTAAGGTATGAGCTCCATGGCCATCTCCTCTGGGCTCCTGAACATGCGCGTTAACGGCAAAGTCAGGCTTGTCTGTAGCGCCATCAACTGGCTTCTACTAGCCTTTGACTGTTCGAGGGCTGCAAAGCTTGCACCAGGTCCAGAGAACGGCGTTGGCTGTGCATCTGGGTCTGCTATAGGATTTACAGATGATCGAATGGGCGATGCGAAGAGGTCATGCAAGGCGAGAACAGAATTAGACAGGTATGGTGCCAATTCCCATTCTTGAGAACCGTGAACTGCTGAGTTGAGTGTGTCATGGAAATACAGCCATTCATATGCAGCAGATGGCTTGCTCAGGAGGGTATCGTCTTGGAACGGCTTTTCAGGATAAGCAGTGAAGCAATCTGTTTGTTGTTAGCATGACATCAATGCGTGAGCTTGGATAAATCATACCTGTCACGATGCGGTCGCAGTCTCCACTTGTGTCGACCATCTCCCTCAGGCGATCCATAGCACGTCGTTTGCCTGCTTCAGCGACACCGATGACGCCGCTCTTGGCCCGCGCAGCTGCCGATTTCGCATCTGTCGTTTCAGCTTGCTTTGGAAAGCCAGCACCCTCACGGAATACACGATCAACAACATCCTTTGCGCCACCTCTTCCTAGGCTTCGAGCAGCTCCACCACCGTGGCGCAGGTCACCAACTAGGTTGTCTTCTATCCACTTCCGCGATAGATGAGGCCTCTCCTTTGACTTGATATCATGCGATGACCGTAAGCGAGCTGCTATCCACTCGCTGACTACCATGACTCCACGAATGTCTCCTTCACCGGTCCCGCTGCCTGTTCCGCCCTCTTTCTTCGTGCTGACACCCCATGTAGCTTCGCAGAGGCGGCGCACACCGTCTGAATCGCACTGAATGTCCTCTTTTCCGAAGATCTCTTGCATGCGCGAAACAACCATGTTGAGGGCGGGTTTGCGGATGTGTACAATCTCAGCCATCGAAGACTGTCGTAGCGGCCGTAGCGAGGGGTGATAGAGGTCATTACAGATTAGGATGAGGGGTCGCAAGAGTCGGAATTTGTCTCCTTTCCTCTTTTTGGTACCGGTACTGGATTGGTGCTGCCCTAGTGCTTTCGTGTTGCGCTCGTCGAGATTGATCAAGTCGATTAGAGCTTTGACGAAACCGCCTTCGCCTGAGCCTCCACTACCAACAACTCCGTCCACTTCATCCACTACAACGCATACTGGTTTCCCAGCCTTGCGCACCTTTCCATCCACAGTACTAGTATTGACCCCACGCACATTCTCAGTCCCAACCATATCCCGGATGCGGCCCTTGACAACAGCTCCGCTGCGCTCATCTGAAGCGTTGATCTCCTGGACTTCGTAACCGGCCTGACGAGCGCAAACATGAGCTAGCGTAGTCTTTCCGAGTCCAGGCGGTCCGGTCAGTAATAATATCTTGCGGTGTCTCTGTTCGTCGTCTTCGAATCCGTTCTTTGCTTTTTTGGGCTTCGTTTTGCTGGAGCCAGGAAATACGATCGGGTCCCACGCCTTCAACCAACGCAACACTGATCGGTGTGTACGCTCATCTCCTACTAAGTCTGTGAACTTCTTTGCTCGATACTTTTCAGTCCACATGAGTGTGCGATTGGTCTTTGCGGTTCTGGCAATTGGCTGCTCGATCGACGGATGTGGTTGCTCATGAGTCTTCAGAGACGCATTCGCGATCTTTTCTTGATCAAGCGCTTTCGCCTCGTCCATGAGTTGGTGGATATTCAGACCATAGTAACTCGTTCTTGCCTTGCCTTCCACGGGTTCCGACCGTGCTGCAATAATTTCTTCATACGACTGGTTTTCGTGTGCGGCCTTCTTGCTTATATGAAAAACCTTCCCTGAAGCATTACGGGCTACGGTGCCACGCGTGTGCTGCGCTAAAGTTGACTCTCGTAGCGTCTGTGGTCGCTTTACTGGTGACTGTGATCTAGACTTGAAGCTGTAATTGTCGAGGTCGTCTACCGGTATGGATTCGGGGTCGGCGGATTCATCCTGGCTCGCAGGTGGTGTATAGTCTCTTAAGCCTTCTGGGACAGCCGGAAGATCCTTGATGCTGCTCACTGCTCTTCTCTTCAGCGTGTGTTCCTTGAGCGCTGCAATGTCTTCTTCGTCGTCGGAGTCGTCCAGGAAGCCTCCAATCTTGCGTGTTGTGTTGTTGTTTGGCACATCCTTCAGCGGCTCTCGTGCATCTTCTGGACGCTTCCTTTTCTTCGGTGACGGCGCCTGTGGCATCGACGAGCTAGGCGGGTATGCGATAGGTGACGAAATGAGCGGCATTGTGTAGACCGGGGGCGAGGAAGGGAAGGCCGTAGCTTCAATCGAAGAGTCGGTGGGAAAGCGCTTGGCTGGCGACTGCTTGTGGCGCTTCGCAGGTGTGTCTGGTGGGATTAGCGCTAGTTGCAGCGCGCGTTCACGCTCGTAGTACCAGCTGGACCTTCTCCTTCGCTTCTGAAGATATCTGCAACGTTCCAGGCGCGATGTTGTATGACGACGCCTGCACGGTTCTTCTTTACTGTGTCTTCGGTAATGCACTGTTGCAATGCGTCGAGTTCGTCGGAATGGGAGAGCGAAGTGGGCGCGTTATCGAGGAGTTCGAATTCGGAATGTAGTAGTGCAGGGTCGAAGGAGGTCGGTATGCCTGGTGAGTAGCTACTCATCGGTTCTTGCAGAGGTCATGATTGGGGTTTATGGGGATGCGTGCGTGACGGAACGGAAGTGTCTAAAGTGCGAGGACGCGTCCACGCGGGTCGCGTTGAAGCGCGTTTTGCCGCTAGCCATATTCGCTCTCGTCCCAAGTCCCGTTGATCGAAGTGGCCATGCTTGCGTCACCAAGCGGTTGTCCCGCGATCTCTCATCATGCAAGACTATCGAATCTTCGTTTCTTGCTGTGTACTGCAGCGTGCACCTTTTCTTCCGTCCGGGATGTTCTTTCCGGTGCCCTCCTACGTTGCATTGTCACCTGGACACAGACTCTGAATGTGCCACTTTGTGCGATGCATGCGGCTCACCATACATATCGATTCCACCATCATCTTACACCTGCTGCTTTGACATTCAGAGAGCCTCATAGGCGAAGGGTAGCTTGAGCGTTCGGGTAGTACTGCTACGTACCTGCCGCCGTCTCACGCACCGTACAACCGAGGGGTACCTAAGTAAGATGCGATTCCCTTTACTCGGCCCCACCCTTGGCTCTATTGCCCTATTGATTGGAACTCGGCGTACAGCAATGCTGAATAACAGCCCGTGGTCTCGTGACGTTATAATCTCGTTAATTGCCAAATCGTCCACAACGAGCACCAAAGCTGCTTGGCGCAGCGGAAGCGCGCCGGGCTCATAACCCGGAGGACGCTCGATCGAAACGAGCAGCAGCTAGATCGTTGTATATCTTCTTTTTGCATTTTTTGTGCGGGTGGGGTTGGATTTGAATCGGTCGGGGTTGAGCCGGGAGATATTTTAGTTTTTAACAGATTACGCTAACCAGACTTGCATACATTATTCACCAACATCATCACGCATGCACACTCCATCCAAATCAACAGTAGTTAGAGCGATACGTTTTTTCATTTTGCGCTTTTTTGTGCGTGGACGCGTGATCGAAACGTGCTCCATCTACAACTTTGTGAATACATCTTGCACCTTTGTGCGCGGCACACAGCAGTATCCATATCAAGCTCCAGTACAAGGGTTTTGAGCTGGCTAGAAATCCCTTTTTGTCTGCATCAAAGTGTCACATCCCAAGTGCACCCACTATCGTCTTCCCACTCCCTCCAAACCCGTCCGCAAGCCTTACTCCATTCCTCATCCCCAAGTTCCCCTTCCACAAGATCGATTAGGCTCGTCTTTCTGCTCATCCATTCCCAATACCCACCCCCTTCAACTCCGCGCTCTCCGCCACAGCTCGCCAGCCAAGACCCAGTCTTTGCACCTTCATCCGTATCAACTGCGATATACTTCTCAGTTACTTTGAGAAGAGCGAAAGTAGGATTGGTGAACCATGTTTTCCAGTCAAAGGCAAACTTGGCAAATATTGGCGTGGATGTAAATCCAGGAGTAAACGCGTGTACTGTACGTTGGTTGCCTTGAGTAGAATCAAAACGGCGCTGAAGGATTGCGGCAAGGAGGACTTGGTGAGCTTTGGAAAGCGCATAGGAATGAAGAGTGCCAGTATCCATACCAAGGTACGCTTTCAGCTTTCCCAGCAGTCCTTGGGCAACACTGCCATCATCACCAGCGGTCTTCGTGGCTACACCTGCAGGCTTAGCGTGCATCACCGTCCCCGATGCACCATAATGCCCAGTACTACTCGTTAGTACCACTCGTCCCTTTTCACTTAGATACTTCTCGAGGAGACATGTCATCAAAAAGCTCCCGAGGAAATTTGTAACTAGAACAATGTCCCGACCTTTCTCGTCTGTCTTCCTTGTGCCGACCGGGGGTTCTGGGATTCCTGCATTATGCCTAAATATTATTGCAAGCTGTCAGTATGTGTCTCACAAACATGTCATCCAGGCACATCGCGTACACGAGCATATCGATCCTCCTGCCCTCTTCTCCCCATTTTTCACAAAACGCTCGCACGCTGTGCAAATCTCCGACATCTACCTTCCAGCAAAATACTCTTGTGGCTGCTTCGTGACCTAGCTGCGAAACGATAGAAGCAACAGCTGCATGGCCTTTTTCGACATTGCGGCAGGCAAGATACACGGTGGCCCCTTGTCTCGCAAGCGCAGTCGCGATCGACAGACCGATACCGCTGTTTGCGCCTGTTACTACTGCGTTTTGGCCTTTGAGGTTGCGATGCGGAGGATTTTGGGGGTTATAGAGGCGTGCGAAAATGAGAGTGGACATTGCCTTTGCTAAAGAGGTGTAAAAGCTGATGTAGAGAGATAGTGGTGCCATAGTAAAGTATCCAAGAACACAGAAACAGGCCTTGAAAGTTCTAAACAATAGCAACGAAGAAGCAGAAGCCGATGCAAGTTCTTGCTACGTGCCATGCGTTGAAGTATTGGCAGGAGGCCTAATAAGGCTGTACCGCCAAGAGTCTCTAGATCATGACGTATGCATTCGTTACATTGGTATCAACTCGGACGACAATTACACCGACTGGGCAGGCATCTCGTTCTCGCCTGCGCCTGACCTTCACCAGACATGACACATGCTAACGAAGCTTTACAATAGGACACTCCTTTGCTGATAACGTCCAAGATCGAGGTCCGCCAACCAAGTGCACAGCTACGACACATGCGTAGCTTGAGATTGTTCGCGAAAAAGCCAAGTTACCACTTTCGAAGCCGTTGGCTAGGGTTTGTTGTCTGTTGGGCGTGCTGAAAGGAGCACACCGCTCGTGTGTTGAAGCGATGGCTGTACGAGATAGGACACTGCTATGCAGAATAATGTGCTGGCCACGAGTGACGCAGAGCCAAATGGATCAGGAGATACGGCACGACGTGAAGACGCGGGCATGTGAAGTTTGCGCGTCAAGTACTGGCTCATGATTGATCGTTATATCTGTATATTCATGACACGAACGACTAGTTGTGACGAACAGAGATACAAGCAACGCCGTATTAGGCGTTCAAGAGTGACACTGCGTTAAAAGCTCTTGGTGATCGGCATCCGACTTGCTTCTCTATCTCCTCGAGGGTATATCTAGCGAAGTGCTAGAGATCATGGTCACACAAGCCGCATCAAGTCAAATAGAACACGCGGTAGCTGCTAGCCCCACGAAAGTTTCGCCAGATCTTGATACAGGCATATGCACAGCCGCGCACCAAATTCAGCTCATTGAGTATCTCGCAGCACACCAAAGATCGATCATATACGCATCGTATGCTGTAGAAGAAGCCTTGCGCGGAAAACAGTCAAATCGCCTCAGTAGTGAGGATGTATCAAGGAGATGGCTTCATACTGCAGAGGAGGAGATTGAGATATGTGTGAAGCGGACGAAGCAGATGGTAGAAGAAGTGGAAAGCGCGCGAAAGAAGGGAGAGAAGTAAATTGACTATTGTCGAATGAAACAAACCACTCTAGAATGCCGATGGTCGTGAGACCCGGGCTCATGATTAATAGCTGTTCAGCCATGCAACTACGTCGGCACTTTCTCCAGTTTGCACAAACCTGCATCTAACCATACGTAGCGTCGACGCTTCTAAGAAAATCTTAAATACACGTTCTATGGTGCATCTTGCAAAGCGTTTCCATTCTAGACCCGAAGACTACCTGACAAGCTGCTCAATTCCCATCTAGCTTAGATATCGCCTCCGACATGTTCATCGCAGTGAGAGCTAGATGGATATTCCCAAGATCCAAGTCATTGCATGAATACTACCATTGCCGCGCACATTACAATGCACGAGTAAGATCGCTATCATCATCTAGATTCAACTCTTCTGGGCCATTTCGCAAGATTGCGGAAGGATGGTAACGGTACCGAGCCTGCGGTAAGTATTGTATGGGATTAGGAGAAGTGTTCACATCGTAACTTTGATGTACGGCCATTAGTGCATCCACGGCCTCTGTGGCGTGTTGAGAATCTAGATGTGACCAGTTTTCCACAACGAAAGGACCTTTTTGATCATCTGTCTCAAACTTGCAGATGTCTGGGATGTCCGGAAAGTCTACATAAGCCTTCTGAGCACCTTGAGCTAGGAGTTCTGATGCTATATTTGCAGCGGCTTCTTGCGAGTTCGACCGGGTTGCATGCGGTATGTAAGGGCTGCTATAATTGGCACCACTCATAGCAGTTCTACCACGTCCTTGATGTTGTCTTTGGTCATACGTGAAGCTTTGAGCTACATCCGGAAAGAAGTCTTGTGTCATTGGTGAATCATGGAAAGCAGCAGGCATTAAGCCACCCATTCCTGCTGGAGGTATATTTTCGTGGCCAGAGCTCAAAGCTGGAACGCCGGCTGCGGGCTGCGTGTGTAGTTGAACAGATGATGCTCGTGATGTAGCTTCCAGCGGTGATCGGTGTATGCCATGTTCTTCCGGATTCTCTTGACATAACGGCGCATGATGCGTTTGGGACTGATGTGCGCGATTGATGACGGCTTCGTCAGCAGCTTGTTGCTGGCGGCGCTGTTCTAAGAACTGCTTACGACGCGTCCCATCCGCATCTCTCAGGACCTGGTAGTAATGCCTCACAACAGTATCATCAACGTGGTTGTCTGTATTTTGAGTATGGCCAATATGATCAAGAATGGGCTGGATATCGTCTGGGAACATGAACTCCGTTGGTCGACCATGTTCACCAAGCTTCTGATTTTGCATTGCAAACTGCAGTGCGCGACTTAAGTCACCAGCATCATAACCCTGAGGGAGCTTCTTCAGACCAACTGCAAGGACAATGAAATGAATAGATGCAGGTGTGACATAACCGATCTTTCTGGCAGATTCCGGAAGATAACCGCTGACGGAGATGTTCAATCTGTTCCAGTTATCCGGAATATTGTGTCCTGCTTTTGTCCACCCAGAAAAGTTTTCCATTTTGCGCATCGTCTTCCGGTATGTGTCTGAGATATGGTCGCGGGCGCGTTCAGCTTCCTCGGCGTTAGTCAAGCCAAGATGTCTATGCTGCTCTAGAATTGCAAAATGAACAGCCGCATTGATACCGTTATTCATGAAGCGCCATGTGATGCCAGGGTTGCGGAACCATTGCGGTACAACCGCGATGAGATCCACGATTGTCGCATTGATTGGCATCTCCTTAGGCAGTTTGTACTCGTAGGCCGGGATGTCCAAGAGAAATTGCGCCCGCGGTTTCCCTCTCAGTGAAGATCTTGGCATCGCTAGATCATTGCCCTTTGACCTATGATGTTTGTGAGGCCTCGAAATTGGGAGATGGTGCGTAGCATCTGGTATAGGCTGGTTTCCAAAGCCTGGCTGCATACCTAGGCACCTCTCGTTTATGGACGATCTCAATGCTCTACTGACTGAATCAGTAACTATGAGGCTCTTAGCTTTTGTTGGGTTAAGCTGGGAGGAAACTGATAAGGTCTGGTCGAAGCTGCAGTTGTTGCGGTACGATATGAACTGTCACGATTGTACCAGGAGAGAAGAGGACCTTTCTATGCACAAGGACCTCAGGACAAATGAAGTGAATGATAAAATGTTACCCAGAAGTCGGTGGATAAGCAATCGAAACGATCAACATAGTGAAGTTCAGTACTTTCACCACGACAGTTTGTTTATCACAAAATTCGACAGCAAATTCACTCCTGCATCGAGAGAGGTTGCAGTAAAGAGTTGGAAGGATTTTAGAAGTGAAGCTAGCAGCTCTTCAGATATTGACTGATGTAACCGAAAACTGTCGGACTTTGTCACATATTCGAAGGCTGAGCAAATTTGAGTAGGCTGTTTTTGCTTGACCTAGTATCCAGGTCTAGATTTCCCATGGTTGCGCGATAGTTCCTGGGGGGTAGTTCTCCACATTCTCGATACCGACACAATTCCTGAGTTTGCTTTCTCCAACGGTATCGTCTCCTGTCAAGTCGATGACCTCCGCGTTACGCACAGCGCGCTTCACTCTCATGCGTTGCAAATCTTGCTCATTGCCGATGCATACGCCAGCTTGTTCCTTCTCGGCAGATCGGTTTGCTTCTGCCAAGCGCTGAGCAAGTACACCACGCGGCTCATGGCCTTGATCCCAGTGACATAGATATGTCGACTCTGTCTGCCGAGCGTGATTCCTCAGGTCGATATTTGCACATCGGTTGAGGACGAGCAGTGGTTCAGGTGTTCCAAAATCATCTGGTTCCACCTCCCACTCATCGTGCCAGGCTTTCGTGGTGACGGCGTCTTCGTACGCTTCGATTCGAGCACCCTTCATAGACTGTTCATAATGGGAGCCCTTCAGAGTGTCTTGCGTCTTTCCTTTGTTGATTTGGTATCCATGGTAGCAGCCTTGACTTCGAGTGCGTTGATTGTAGCTGAATACTGTATGTGTGCGTACGGGTTCATCCACACGGAAATTGCGTGTCAAGTGCGGGTTTCTTTGGCTCTGCGAGTATGCTGATGATTCAACCATCGTGGGTGGGAGGACTGGGTAGCGATGTGTTTTTTTCTGCGCAAGGTTGGGTTAGGACAATATGTCATTCACGCGCAGTGCGGTCCTCTGCCTTCTGGTCGACCTTGGTTCGAAGGGTCGCTTTGTGGCCCTCAAGCCCACGGAGAGTGGCTTGTAGCTATGATACCATTGCACGCTGTGCCGTACAGTACTTCTCTCACTGTCTCCGTTTTCACCATGGTGATATGACTTTAGGCGGTGATAGGCGGGAGAGACAAACGAGACTGCTGATCCATGGTGCGCCATTGTCCATTCCAGCCGTGCTTTTGTTTATGCACAAAGGGTTTGCATGACCCTCGTAGGCAGGTGCGTGTTGACCGAGAGCTCCCATGGTTCGTATGTCACAGTAGCGGCTGTGGGTGATGACTTGCCCTGTGGCCAATCGGGTGTGCGCTACCGTTGGGCGCGCACCCGGGCAGCATCGGCAGCCTCGTGCCTGCAACCGCCAAAACTGATGAGCACATGAGCGCAAGAGTGAGGGTAGGATGGGAGAATGAGAGGTGAAGAAGAAGACAACGGCGTGTGGAGCAATGCGTGAGCAATGCTGGGTGGATGCGCGGAGTGGACAAAGTGTGTTTGACATTACTACTACGTGAATAGATGGTCTCATGTGCAATACGACATCAGCAGTTTACGAATCTTTTGCGGCTTATTGTACGATAATTATCGAGACATGAGAAAAGTGCTAGAGTCGCCCATCACATCACTTACAAACGAGACAAGCCGAAGTTCCAGAGATCGACTCGACGCGTCCAGACGCGTTGATGTGGTGGCTGGAGCACTAGGAATGCTAACGCGTTGGCTGTTAAGACCTAGCCTCCCACCTCCGCCCAGATCCAGCATAGGGCACACGCTAGAACTCACACCCGTCTCGATCCTGCTGATCGTTATAACCAGATCGCAAGTTGCGATGGCGACAACTTGTAGCCTGAGACCCCAGATCTATGTGAATCGATTAGATATAGTAACAAACACTATGGGAAGGCCAATGCTGGAGCATGTTAAAACAGTTCGACTGACTTTGGCAGGACAGAGACAAGTGTTGAACAGGTTGTCGCCAAAGCAACGAGCAGCATGCGTGACCATACTTACCCAGCGAAACAAACGCGCATCTACTACGTTTGCAGAGTCAGTGAAGGAAGCGAGACAGACAAGGAATGAAAACATGTCAACAGATCACGATAGATTTACAAGACTTGATCAAGTAAGTTGCTACGCTACGATTCGCCTACATCCATCACTAGCAGACATATTTCCAAGCACGACAGAAAAGAACCAGAAGCCATAACGAGAATGCGAGGGTATCAGATGCGCGTATAAACTACTACCGCGAACGGTGCAGGATATGCCATTCAACGTTATGGTCGCTGACAGTGGTTGCGCTCGGTTCACAAATCGAAATTGTCTTCGTCTCCAAAGACGCCTTCTTCTGTCATTCCAATATTGTCTTCGTCCTCGTCCTCTTCGACTGCGTCACCTATATTCACGTTCTGTTTGCGGCCGAGTCGGCGCATCTGCGCTGCAGTCAAGAACTGCCTCTAAATTAGAGTGTCTTCTGCGCCATCAATCTCATCTTCCAGGCCTCTCTCCTCCTCATTAGCTTCTGGGACCTCTTCAGCGATATACGAGCCACTGAATGGTCGGTTCCGAACAGAGGTGCGAGTTGTAACAGCGGCTTTCTTGTTCCACCTCTTAGGTTCAGCATAGGTGTCTCCATCGGACTCAGAGTCCAGGCCTTCGGGCAGGATCTCCTCGCGAAGGTGAGATGAAGACGGCTTCTTTAGACGATGAGCATGCGCTTTTAGTGGAGGCTTCTTGCTGCGTCTGAATATCCGCCTGCTCGGGATTTGTCCGTGATCTTCGTCATTTTCAGTAGTACGTTTGCGCTTCGATGACCCGCCAGTCTTCTGCATGAAATCATCTCCATCCGACATATCATCTTTGAAGGCACACTTGCGCTCGCCGCCCTTCTTAGTCGTAATTACTGGCTCATCATCGTCCTCGGTATCCAGATCCGAATCCGAATCTTCTAGACCCTCTCCAGAGTTTTCTTCAAACTCCTCACCCAAAGCCTCTTCTTCGTCGGAATCCACCATGAAGCCCTTTTTTTGTCTGTTGAAGTGCCCGAGATCTTCACGCTGTCGTGCGCTGGCTCGTTTAACGTTTATGCGCTTCTGTCCAGACATGTGTCTCAAGATGGCGGCCTCGTCTCGGTGCTCGCGATGTACAGCAGCAGCACCTCCGAGTAGAGCAACGAGTTTCTCGAAGTCTTGTGGATATCTCCAGCTTTCGTCGTTGTGCTTCACACAATATGCCACACATCGAGTAAGGTCTAGTGCATCGTACCCTGATGGCATGGTTTTGACACCATTTGCCATGTCGTGAAACGAGATGCTAGGCAGAGGTTGCGTTGTAGCAGAAGCAGATTGACGAGAGTTGAGATTGACAGGAGTGCGAAAGCCTGCTACGCTAACACTGAATGGATCAAATGCATTAGGCTTCTTTATAGCTGCGTGCTTGGCAACTGTCCATTTCTCGTAAGTCGGATCAGCCTTTGCACGATGGTCCATAGGTCCCTTCATCATGCGGTAGATGCTGTTGTTCCCTATAGGCCCATATGGCATGTGCCGGTATTGATTAATAAGGGTTGCAAAGGTTCCCGAAGTAGCGCCGTTGTAGAGAAAGCGGTCCATCATATCGTAGGATTTGATAGCGTGCGGAACAAAGGCAGTTATCTCTACCAAAGTGAGGTTGCCATGGGGAAGATCCAACCAGGCCGAGGGCGCATCCCTCAACTTGTCGTAGCTTGCAGAACCGAAACCGGTAGACTTCTTTCCTTTAGAAGGCGGCCTGCTCTTCGCAGTCTTACTGGAAACGACCTCTATGTGGGTGACAGACCCTTCTTCGGTGGCTTTGAATTGGTAAATAGGTGGTGCTGTATATTCTATACCGTGCCTTGCAACCTTAGCGCGTAGTGGAAACCATTCGAGCTCCTCTGGAATGTTGTCATCTTCCTTGTACTCTATAGCATCTTCTGTTCTCTCAGCATACTTGTTGAAGTTAGTGACTGCTTTATTGAGACGATGCTTATTATAAGCATCCAGGATGGAGCGCTCGATTTTCAAGGCTTGAAATAGCAACCTCATCGGAACAACCTCCTGCAAGTTGCAGTCCATGAGATTCTCTCGGAATAGTACTTGGAGTTCGTCGCGTAAGAAAGTGATGTTTGCGAAGAGGATTCCAGCATTCAATTGTGCTATGTTGAACATGTCTTGAATCTCATGCCGTGTGAAGGTAGATGGAGACATTATTGATGATTAGTGTTGTCTGAACAGCGGAGTTGAAGGGCCACCTTCCTGGGCATAGGTTGATTTTTGATGACTGAGTCAGTAGTCACCTTAATAGCAGTATTTTATGGTTAGAAATAATATACAGACCCTCGGATCGAATCCAGTACCGACACAAAGTGGAGTGAATGCGTACAAATCATGTAGGAGCTAGAGGGGTAGCTCTCCTGCTCGCTGTGAATCTTCGGATGTACCGTGATATATCAGGCTAGAGAAAGACTTCTCAAGTCATTCACCGAGTAGCGAATACTGGCTAGCATTGTTGCTAATTTTCGACCCGAATGTGAAAGTCATTGTATATGTAGTGAAAAGATCACGATTGGAGAGAAACAGTGCAAGAGAGATCTAGACGACAAGGAAACAAAGATGCCCGCTTGTACATTGTTCGTCCCTTTGTCTGATCATGCTGTGGACACTTAAGACCATTTGAGATCTCGAGGTGGACTTAAGTCATGTCTGAGGTTCGAGAGTTGGCGAAGCCATCTTGTGTGTATAGACCTTGATTGCTTCTCCATGTTGTGGAGCACTTGAAATGGGATAAGTTGAAACTTATCTCAAGTAAGTGGAATGCAAGGTCGCGCTCCTATACTGTACTTCCGGTGTAGTGCTTTTACTGCGGAGTTTCGCTGCAATGTACGTAAGTATGAGGGCTCTTTGAAGTATTCGAGATTGCACCTGAAATGCTGTAGGAGTTTCATGCATGTCCTTCCATCCTGCATCGCGGGCCATACGAATGAATGAGCGGATTGATAGGCATACATTCGTCGAACATAGTATCGAACGTCGCTCGATAGACGCTTTGGCTTGGCCAGTGCTATGATGGGAAGAATATCCTTGCCCTACAAAGTTCAGGCATCCAGCAAACTGGAACGTACACCTCGATCCTTGGGGCCGGGTGTCACGGTTTGCGTTGGCACGGGAAAACAGACTAGTCCAGATGCAGACTAGCGTTCTACTCTTCGGAGATGGTTCCATGCTCTACGTGCAGCCTTCCCCTCATCTTCTTGTCAGTCCGATCGGTACGTCAGACCTGTTCTACTGTGTTCGGTATGGGTTAGTGCTGGCAATCTTTGTACTGACTGCTCCTGTTCGATGTCCATCGTGGTGCTACTGCAGGTGTGCTTTGCGAAGGGCACCATTGGAACTCAGCCACACGGCTTAACTCACTACGCCGCAATCTATATATGCAATTGCTACAACACAACGGACTGCGCTCGGTCGTACATCAGCCGACATATCGTACATCTTCATGAGAAACAGTATGTAAGACAACATATGACGTTACTACCCCTCGCCCAGAAATGCCATGGAAGACCTAATGCAGAACCGGCAGGTCAAGACTACCACGACTTGGGGAAATACCCCAGTTGTATCTTATCCACGATTAAGCGGGCTCTTAGGCAACATCACCCATGTCACAGTGCGCACGTTGAGCCGCCAATACTCATGGTCATGGCTTGGGAAGACATGCTTTGTGCTTATCATGGTACCAACAGACAGGCGACACGCCAAGTTGTTGGACATGCAAAAAGTATAAAGAACCCGCACTCTACGCAGCTCAAGTACCTCACGCTTTTCAGTTGACCACTTCCTCAGTGGATCATCATCATGAAGTTCGTACTCAGTCTTGCTTGGCTATCACTCGCTACGTGTGCCACGATCCGTAGCCCCCAACCCGTCTCATATGATGGCTATCAGGTCCACCGCCTCCGGTCTACTGGGTCTCAGTATGCGTCAGCAAAGCGGGCGCTTGCCTCCATTCCCCATGAGACCTTGAACGAAGTTCGTGGTACTTGGGATGTTCTCATTGCACCCGAGCAATTGGACGCCTTCAATGCACTGGGGCTCAAATCTCGAACTCTGCACGCGAACCTAGCCGACTCCATTGCCCGAGAGTCTTATGTCAAGAAGGCCTGGAAGAGGCAATCGAATGGGTCAGAAGATGCGTGGTTTGATAGCTACCATCCATATGAAGACGTGGGTGATCTATTACCCAGATTTGAACCAAAACTAATCAACTCTCCATAGCACATTAGCTGGTGGCGCGAATTACAGGAGTCTTTCCCGGAGCACTCAAACTGGACGAGCACTGGAACATCTTACGAAGGACGCGACATGTTCGGCGTTCATCTCTGGGGAGCTGGTGGTCCCGGAAAGCCTGCAGTCATTTACCAGTAAGTGTCCCTGTACGAATTGCATATGAAACATATACTAACTTTGTACACCCACGCTTAGCGGTACTGTACATGCCCGTGAGTGGATCACTGCACCAGTCATCGAATATATCGCGAAGCAGCTTGTCGGCGGATACAAGGCAGGTGACAACGCCACGCAAGCCGTCTTGGACAACTACGACTTCTATATGTTCCCATTCGTCAATCCTGATGGTAAGCCATAGTACTCCGATCAGACTTGATGGTTTTCGCTTATCAGTCGCAGGATTCGTCTTCTCTCAAACTGACAACCGCTTGTGGCGCAAGAACCGTCAGCCACCACCAGAAAACGCTGCCAACCAGACGTGCTTTGGTCGTGACGTGAACCGAAACTGGGAGACGTGAGTGATGGTTGTCTTTGAGCCGTTGCGATATGCACTGACTCGTAGTCTCAGGAACTGGGATGCTGACCCACGCGGAGCTTCGCCAGACCCATGCTCGCAAACCTACAGGGGAGAAGCGCCCCGCGATACGCCTGAGAACCAGGGCATGGACAACCTTATTCGAAAGATACGCGATGAGCAAGGCATCAAGCTATACATCGACTGGCACAGCTACTCCCAACTTATACTGTACCCGTTCGGCCACAAAGAAACCCTGTACGCACCAGAACTCGGTATGTGGACTAAAGCTGCTGCTTTGATGAGTGATACCATCCGCTACAATGCCCGTGCGTTCGATGAACATCATCATTCGATGAACACCCCCACTTCAACAACAACACAACTTCAACGCGTCATAGCTCAACCACCATGGATCCGATTCAAGAAGCGATTGCAGAAATCGAATCGCGCGAACCAGGAGATAAATTCTCGTACCAACAAATCGCGAAAAAGTATGGTGTCAACCGCGTTACGCTCGCTCGAAGGCACAAGG